GGGTCTACAGCAAACTAATAAGTTTCTGCGCAACAAAAGAAACTGTCAACAAGGTAAATAGGCAACCAGCCAAATGGGAAAATATATTTGCGTGCAACACCTCCAATAAGGGCCTAATATTCAAAATATATAAAGAACTCATATGACTCAATAACAACAACAACAACAACAAAACAAACAATCCAATCAAAAAATGGGCAGAGGACCTGAACAGAGACTTCTCCCTAGACGACATACAAATGGCCAACAAATATATGAAAAGATGCTCAACACTGCTAGCTATTAGGGAAATGCAAATCAAAACCACAATGAGATACCATCTCACACCTTTTAGAATGGCTATTATCAACAGGACAAGTAATAACAAATGTTGGAGAGGATGCGGAGAAATAGGAACCCTCATATGCTGTTGGTGAGACTGCAAATTGGGACAGCCACTATGCAGGTTCCTCAAAAAACTAAGAATCCATCTACAATATGATCCAGCAATCCCTCTACTGGATATTTACCCAAAAGACTTGAAAACTCTTTTCGAAACTATATATGCATACTGATGTTCATAGCAGCATTATTCACCGTCGCCAGAACATGGAAGCAACTAAGGGTCTTACGATAGATGATTGGCTAAAGAAGCTGTGGCACATATATTCAATGGAATATTACTCAGCCATAAAAAGAGATGAAATACTGCCATTTGCAACAACATGGATGGACCTTGAAATAATCATACTAAGCGAAACAAGCCGGACAGAAAAGGTTGAAAATCACATATGTGGGATAAAAACCTAAAAACAACAAATGAACAGGACAAACAAACAGAGACTCATGGACATGGACAATGGACTAGTGGTTACCAGAAGGGAGGGTTAGCGGGTGGAGGAAAATAAAAAAATAAAATGTTTAAAAAATTATGTATACATAGAATGAAAAATAAATAAATAAACTGGCATAAAAAAATTGTAGGATGCAGCCAAAGCAGTACTTAGAGGAAAACTTATAGCATTAAAAATGTTTATATTTAAAAGAAGAGAGTTCTAAATCAATAGTCTAAGCTTCTACTTTAAGAAATTAGAAAAAAGCAATTTAAAACTTAAAGCAAGCACAAGAAAGAAAATAATACAGAGCAGATAGAAAACAATAGAAAGAAATCAATAAAACCAAAAGGTAGTTTTTTGAAAAAAAAAAAAAATCAATGAAATTGATAATTCTCTAGTTAAATTAGTCAGGATAAAAAGAGAGATGACATAAATTACCTGTTTGGGGGGAAAATAAGGGGATATCACTATAGCCCTTACAAACTTTTAAGGAATAACAAGATAATACTACAAACAACTCTAAAAGAATCCACTGGCTTTGACAACAAGGAAATTAAACTTATCTTAGTGAGAAGTTTTAGTAGAGTGGACCAGAATGGGAGACAGGCCAGAATAGTCTGAAGAAGGAATGAGAGGAGAATTACAGAAGCAGAGAGTACAGACAACTCTTTCAATAAGTTTATGGGAAAGGACAAAGAATGGTAAGCTGGTATCTATAGGTAAGAAGGGCAACCTTTTGGAGGTGGAATCATGCCCTCCTTTATAGGCTGAGAGGGAAGATCCACACGGAGAAGTCAATGATACAAAAGAGAGAGAGAGAACCAAAGGTCTTAGAGGCAGTGGGAGGAAATGGACCAGCAACAAAGTGGAATGGCTTACTTTGCACATGACAGACACTCTCCTCTTAATCAGGTGGAGATACAATAAGAACAGGCAGGAGTACTGACTAGGACTGGTAACTAAATCAGATTTATCATTTAAGAGTTTCATAGTTCTTCACCAAACAGAAATACTGTCAAGAACTAAGATTCTATAATAGAACATTGCCATTAAATAGCTTACTTAAGTCATCTTAATTGCAGAACAGCTGAAAAAGACTAGATTTGTGATATTCTAGTGCATGGGTCTGCAAACTATTTCTGTAAAGGACCAGAGAGAAAATATTTTAGGCTCTGCAAGCCAAGAGGCAAAAATAAAAGATATTATGCAGATAAAGGAGAGAAACTTCTGATCTGCCTGGTACTAACTGTCTGGGATGGCCTTTCCAATAGAAACACACCCAGGACAAAAAATTACTGGCCTGAAGAGAAGGGTCTTGGTGGGCCAGACCAGCATGTGATGGTGGAGGGATAGCCCAGGTCAATTTTACTTTTTGCCCCAGATCCCTCCCTATCCCTGCCAGATCCTGATGCACCCTTCTCTCCTCCCAAGGGTCCAGCAGTCTTAATTTGGGCAGCCTGCTGGAAGCTAAGCAACTTCTGAATTACCAACTGAAATTCCGTGACTGGGTGCCCAGTAATTGCCAACAGTCACCAGTGGCCACCAGTGAAGACCCTGGATAGCAACACTGAAAGTGGAGGATGAAACAAGGATGGAGGAGGATACCCCATCTTAGTCTTCAAGATTTATGATGCTAACCTCCTCAATTGGTGCTTAGGCCTTACAAAAACAGGTAGCGGGATGGATTTGGCCCATAGGCTTTAGTTTGCTAGCGACTGTTCTCCTGTCTCTAAAAAACCTCGAAGATAAGCCTAAAGGACAACCTTAAAAATGTGAATGGCACAAAAATTCTTTATCAAAAGATAAGGTTTCATATTTGAATACAATGTTCCTTTTTGTACTCATATTATTTTAAATGGGGTAATGAATAACACTTCACATCATGCCCCCTCCTTCCTTGAAGTTCACTATCAGTAGTAGAAAGCGTAAATACTGATTTAGCCCTTTCCTGAGTCATAAAAGTGTCACTTCTGGAAAGAGCTTTAAAACATAGGCTGGTTAAATTGTATTACTTTTCTGAAAATTCATTATTCTTCCTACTTTAGAATTGAGAGCTGGAAGTAAATGAGATATGGCTTGTCAGTACATATCAAAATAAGACATGAAAGGGAAGAGGGAAGAGGAGGATGCTACTTGTCACGACATCTCCAGTTCATGGAACCTACTCTGATAAATCACTTCGTCTTCCTCAGTCACATAGGCGTTGGCTCCCCAAATCACCATCTTGTGGATGTAAGATGGATGTTTTGCAGCTGCAATGAGTGCTGTTATACCACCATCACTCCACCCCAGCAAAGAGACCTTCTTAAACTTCAGCGTCTGTGATAAATAGAACAAAAAGCACAGCACAAGTTATTGCTCCTCTGTTAAAAGAACCCAATAATCAATAATTAACAGCTGTGGGGTTTGGAATATTAATTAGTAAAGAAAAATCTTAGCGTTCACCATTTGGTGACATAAATATTTTCTCTCAATTAGTTTGGTATAAATATAATTGTCATAAAAACTTAAGTACATAGTCCTGTTTTAAATTATGAAGGACCTACATCTTCAGGTTGGACAAAAGCTCAAAGAACTGAAAACAATGGTGATTAGCTGTATTCGGACATCACAGCAAAGACTTTGAGAATAGCTGTGTAGATGAGAGAGGAAAGTGGATGAAATGAAGTCACTGCATCTGGTAAAGTCACTAATTGCAATTATGCGAAGAATTGGCTAAAGGAAGGTTGGAAGAGAATGGTGTCATGGGGAGGGTGAATCAACCAGGCTCTGAAAATGTGTTTCACAAGGAAAATGAACAATGATTACATCTGGAAGATGCTGTCTTGAATACTTGGGAAAATTTAAGTTAAAGAATTAACAAATATCCATCCAAGATATTTCCTGGTAAATTGAGATAACTACTATGGATAACAATCTGGTACTATCTTGTAAAATAAACATTTGCATCTATAACTTAGCAAGTCATCTCCTAAATATGTATGGAAGAAAGGAAGAAGAAGAAAGATGAAAGAAGAAGAAAGAAGAAAGAAGAAAGCAGAAAGCAGAGGAAGAGGAAGAGGAAGAGGAAGAGGAAGAGGAAGAGGAAGGAGAAGAGGAAGAAGAGGAAGAAGAAGAAGAGGAAGAGGAAGAAGAGGAAGGCGGAAAAGGAAGAAAGAAAGGAGGAGGAGGAGAAGGAGGAGGAGGAGGAACTAAAATGCCCAGGGGAACAGAATATTCACTGCACTTATGTTTATAGTCACAAAAAAGGCAACTTAAAAATTAAGTAATTTATCTACCATAGAAGAGAGGTAAAATAAGACACAGTACATCCATATAATAGAACACCATGTGCCTACTGTAATGCTGATATAAACATATTTATTGACATAGAAGTATCTCTTTGACAAATTGTTCAATGAAATAGTAAGTTGGAGAAACATTAGGCACAGTATGATGCCATCAATATAAAACTATGTATTTATATATGCAATAAGATTGGCCAGAAAGGCAAAGCCTCAAAGTCTTGGTAGTAATATCTCTAAATAGTTGGATTGTGGGATATTTCTACTTTCTTCTTTATACCTATTTGAACTCAATTTTCTATAGGAATTGCATGGTATTGACCTCGTAGAAATGAAAAACAAAAACAAGACGAATTAAGACAGGTCCAACTATCTTCTCTCCCTTGAGTTCTTCTTGGGCTCTTCCCTGAGAAACCCACCTTCATCAAATCAACAGCGTCTTTTGCATCCCTTTCAAAAAAATCCACTGGAAAATCTCGATCTGGTGGTCTGGAATGTCCATATCCTCGAGGATCGAAGGCAACCACTGTGAAGAGCTTCTTATTTAAGTTCTTAATCTGAGGTTGAAAATCAGTCTCTCCACTTCCTAAAAATAGCCAATTGGTTAATTCAGGAGAATGCTTTCATTGTTTCAAACACATTACTGTTAAAACAGAAATAAGTACAATCTTAAAACAAAGTAACTAGTTTCTACTCAAAGTTAGACACCAGAATGTAATCAGCAAAGAAGCTTGCAATGATGGAATCCATTTACTGGGAGATGGACTTCCTTTCCTGGTGGAGCTCAGACCTGCCTCTTATCTCCCCCTAGTGGCTACTTTGAGAAAGACAGAGGCTCTGATTTTTCATTTGGTCTTTTTTTATTATTATAGTCCTGCACTTTTAATGACTCTTCTGCTTTATTTTCCTTTAAAATTTTTTTTAAAAAGAATTAAAAAAGAATTTATGAAACTGCTCAGAAATAAATATGATTCTGGGTTATTTTTTCTTTCTTTTTAAGAAGTGACTTATAAGTGAGAGAGATCCTAATATCTATAGAGAAATTTATGAGATTCGATCCAAGTTATTCAAAGCAGAATTCTAAAATCTCATTTTTTTTTTTTGCTAAGCTAATGTGAATAGCCCTGAAGATTGGGGGTGGGGGATATAACTAGAAATCATAAAACTAAACATGGAAATGAGGGAGGAGGGTAGGGTGTGGAAGAAATCAAATTAGTTTATTTCAGTAAAACATTACAAAACAGCATGTGTTAACAAGCCAGTAGTGGACTTGACTGGCAGTCCCCAGTGTGTGCACATAGAAAGTTCTCTGTGGTATGCTCACATCCATTGCATGCAGCATGTAAAGCCAGATTCTCAAGGAGTCCAGTCCAGGGGCAAGTCAGCAATTTATTTTTAAGGTCTGCTTGGTTTCTGAATATTCATAGGTCAGGCCACATCTTGCTTGATAAACTGTTATCAGAAAATGTCTTTCAAGATAGTGCAGGATCATTTAACATTATCAAGGACCATCAATGTTCCTGATGAGATATGCCTTTCTCAACGTCAGGTATACAATTCAGAAAACCCAAGTCAAAAACATAAATGGATTTCAAGCTCATGCTTACTGCTCTGACATGGGAAACTTCTCTTATGGTCCTGGAACTGGAGGGACTTCCCCATGGGAACCACCCTGAAGGAGGGGCAGGAGGTGAGAAGGCCGGGAAAGAAAAGTCTAATTCAAGACCAGTTTCAGAAATAACACTTGCTTCCTGGCACACAGGTATACATTTGAAGACCAATGCAAAAAATACTAGAACATTAAAAAAAAATTTTAAGGAACAATTATATGATATTTGACAAGAAAACATACCAACGCTGGTTGCCTGAGGAGAGGGGAACTGGGTGCTTGGGACAGGGGATTGGGAGAGAGAATTTCAGTGTTTAACTTTTTAATTTTTGAATCAGGTTAATGTTTTGCATAAACAAAAATTAAATTGTCAAAAGTTTTTTATACCTGAACAATTGTGATACTGAAATAATGGAAATCTAAGCCGGTAAACTGTTCATTGCTTTACAGATAACTGTGGCTCTAATATCAGCCATTGGAGTAAATGTCTTCCTTCATTACAATAGCTTAAGGGAAAAAAATGATACTATCTAGATAAGGATGACTCAGTAGCCACAATGGTACCACAATCAAGTGAAGATCAGGCAGGTGGAACCATCAAGTAACTGAAAAATTTTAGGAGAAAGAAGCAAATCATAAGGAGATGGTATATATTGGTAACGACTCAATGCTAAAACTCTTAAAACCAAATTTGCGATGTCCTGGAATCACTGGAAATTTTCCCCCTAAACTTTCTACATCTCAACTTCTTTTCTGTAAAATGAGATTGAGATCCAGCAGGATTTACAATGCTCCATTCATACCAATCTAATTTGGGTTTTCAAAAAGCCTTTAAATTCAACTTTGTTCTTAGCTCTTATTTTAATTAAACATATAGTCAACCACAACAAGGAAATCAATCCATCTTTCAGCACTGAAAGTCTCCCATCCTGGAACCCCTCAATTCCAGGCAAACTGGGATGGTTGGTCACCCACTCATCTTCTTCCTTCATCTATCCCTTCTTCCCACATCCCTTTCCTTGACTGCTGTCATCCTCTCAAATTGTAGGCAACTATAAATGTGCTTGCATGGAAAAAAACAGGTATTTAAAGGAACAAAAAATATATATATAGCAGAAAGCTATCTTTCTGTATCACTGAAAGTTGATTGTAGCAAACAGTACTTAGAGCATTTCAGCAAAGCACTAAAATTAATAATCAACATTTGGCAACTACTATTGTGAAAGCATCATAGGTTACACAGCATGCAAGAACATTCCATTAAAACCTTCCAGACCCAACATTCCAGGAAGCAGCAGGACTGCATGCTCGCCCTCTCCGGTCTGCTGGTAATGCAGGTGGACACCATTCACAGCCACTTTGGCAGAGATTACTGAGGTACTAGAAGAGAAAAACCCCATCCCCAAAGGAAAATTATTATTTAGTGGTGCCAAAGTAATATGACCAAACTGCCCTTTTATATACACGAGTCAGTTCTAGTACCCTTCTCAGTCTTCTTGGATTATTTTGATTTGTGCTTCAGTTTTCCAAACCTAAAAAGGACATAGGTTTGTATCTTCCTTACTAGACTGCAGATCTGGATTGTATCTTCATGTTTGAATATCCTGCAGGAGCAGCTCAGGCTTACCCTATAAAAGTACTGATTGGCTTGCTCAAGTCAATGGCCCTACAGGCCCATGGGCACATGCCTGGTGAGCTGGAAGCCAGTGGTGCCAAAGGGCAGGCTGACATGGGAGCTCCACGCAATGAAATGCGAGGCTGAGCATCAGCAGCACAGACCCTTAGCAGGTCTAGGGGAGTTACCTAGACCTGCAGCTGCCTTGGCACCATTCCTAAACATAAAATTGGTCTCAGGAATCTACAGGGAAGGTCTTGATCTCAAGGCTGTCCTTTAGGCATATGGCTCATCACATTCCCTAGCCAGCTATAGAAGGACTCGTTAGGAATGCCCAACTGCACTGATTGACCAGACTGGTTTTTAAGATGTTGAGATATTTCTGTGTTGATTGTTAAATAACTGGGTCCATAAGCTCTCAGCTCAAGAGCCTTCCTCCTGTCACCAACCCTCCTTGGCACAAGACCTCCGTGGTGCAGCATCTAACTGCACATGCTTGGCATGGAGACGGTCTTGAGCCAGGGCTACTGCTAGGTAGGGTCTGTTCTGACTGAATGATGTGTGTGCTGTACCAGGTGTTATGCTCTGATTAACCTCTCCTCAGCTGCTTTTCCAGAAGCTCTGAGATGACTATGCTGGGATATACCAGAAAAGAGCATATCAAAGGCCCCTGCATTAGGCTCTAACAGCCTCCCCACCAATTTCCCAGATGGCTGGATGACAGGAGAGACATTATGGTATGCCGGGACAGATGCTGGAACAAATGTGTTGAATACAGGTACATTGTTTTAAACATCACACAATTTCTAGAAATATATGACAGAATTGGTAGGTGACAAGGCCTGACATATCTATAAGCACATTATCTACAGAAATATTATGGGAGGATTAATAATAAAGCCATACTGAGCAATGGTAGTGTCATACTGACACTGCTAAGTTACCTATTATTAATGTCTAATTTCTCTGAGTAATTCGTTTTTATTGTTAAGATGGCTCTAGGAGCAAGATAAAAGCAAATAATACTCTACTAATATTCATTTCAGCAAACATTTGTTTACTGACACATTTGCTTTGTTCACAGTCTAGTAGGAGAAAAGATAAAGACACAAAGACTGATTTGCAAACCCGCAGGGAAGGGTAGGGTATGAGTGAGGAAAGAAAAGCTTGAGGTACATGTTTGGAGCAAAAGTTATTACTATTTCCTGTGTTCACCACACAGGAATGAGGCATCTCCCCAAATAAAGGTGACCAGCATTTGCACAGCTCATGTTAGTGAGGATGTGTACCTTTATTACTCCTGTTCCCTAACTATTTCTGAGGGGCTCCCCTTCTTGCGTCAAGGATATGCTTGTAAAAGTCATTTTGTACAGTGAAGATATTACGTACAATAAGAAGAACCTCAGCCCACCAAGCCAACTTTCTCAATGTCCAAGCCAGTGAGTGCTGCTGACTTGATTCTGTTTGCCTCTCTCCAGGAGCCCAGGAATCAGCCCTAGGGCACTGGCTTATGCAAGCTTCCTTTCCTTCTGCTTTCATGATCATTCCAAAATCTCTTTTGTGAAAAACCTAATTTCCCTCTGTACTTTGCTGTCTATGTTTTGACTCCCCATTCCAACTTTATTATTATTATTCCCTATCTCATATTCTTTCAGTTGCCTAATAAGAATATAGAAATAAAACCAGAAAGTCTAGAACTGGGCATAACGGCAACTCAATGTCAGGGTTGAAGAAGAGTGCGAAAGTAGAGTTTGAGATGTTGAACTTCCAAGAATGTGGTGGGGAGGGTGATTCTAGAAGAAACAGTATGATCAAAGGCCCAGGAGCAAAAGACATATGTGGGAACAAGGCAGAATTCAGCCTGGCAGGAGTGTGGGGGCAAAGAAGGAGCATATTTTGAAGCTAAACAGTTAAAGGGTTTGCAGCTAAGGCTAAGGGGAAAGATGTGTCCCTAGTGCTTTGTCATCAACACCCTGTATGGAGTCACAGGAGAGGCACCCGTCATTATCACATCACCCTATCCCTTAGGGTTAATGGAGCTTGCCAAAACCTTTCATTGGTCTCTAGTTTGGGGAAACAGGACAGAGGACTGCTTATGAACAAAAGCAAATCAAACGCAATTTCGAGTATAAGAAAAAAAGTTTATTTTTAAAAATAATAGTTATTAAATGATTTTAACATAAATATAATTGAAATGGGTATAGCATTTTTTCTTTACCTTATCAAGGGGCCCTTTAGACGGCAGGCAGGTCTTACATAAATATTGTTATATGTATGGTGCAAGATAATCAGCTGCAGAGATCAGGCCTTGAATGGCCCCCAATATGTGCTTATTACATGAACCACATTCAAGATACCAAATTTTACAAACTCTCAGGTAAAAAAAAAAAGATAGAAAAGTTCAGAACTTTTAAAGAACAAAAATGAATCCCTCTCCCTTGGGGCTATCAATGTCTTTTCCATCACTTTCTCCCTCCTAATAATCGCTTCTCTAACCCAGGTGTTCTTAACCAGATGTGTACATTAGAATTACCCATGGAAAGTTAAAAATATACCTGCATAGGACAACCCTGGGAGACCATCATTCAGTGACTGGAGTAGAGCCCTGGCATGTACTTTCTAAAACACCAAGACCCTACTGTACTATTTATTCACTCATTCATGTATTTCCTGAACATCTACTTTGTCAGGGTGTTCCATGTTGCTTAGAGGCTGGCAGGCAAGGCAGATAATTAAACCTGCAAGCAGCAGGTAGTATACAGTTTGCCAAGTACTATAATAGAGAAGTAGAGGGATACAGGAGACTCGGGGGCGTTAAGAGGGGTGGGTTTGGCGTTAGACACCACCAAGTTCACCAAGACCTCACCAACATCTACAAGGATGCCCACTCAGCTCCTTTTTATGAGAGCATTTCCTGATTCTCACTATATCAGTGGAGCTAAAACTTAGATTTGAAACATCTGGCAAACTTTCTTTTGAGTGCCTAATAAATTTTAATTATTATTATAACTATGCATATTTTTTTTCTGGCAAACTTTTAAATCTCTGGATGCCCAGACTGCACTAAATCAACATCTCTGGGGTACGATCCAGGTATCTGTATATTTTTAAATCCCCAAGAGATTCCAATAGGTAACCCAGGTTAAAAATAACTGTACTGAGTTAATTTCTTAAAGGAGAAAAAAATCCTATCTCCCTTTTAAAAACAGCCTGTAGGAAGGCATGCTCACCTAGAAAAGCTTGTCT